GCTATTATTTATTGGCTTTTAATATAACTAAATTTTTTGCATGTTAAAATTGGTCATGACATATCAGCTAGCCAGTTTATTGACCACACTTAAAATTTGTAGAAAAGGCTATAAATATTTCAGGTGATTTCATGGTTGTGACTAGTTTATATTTCATTATTTATGCATAAGTAACAATTCTAAATTTCTTTAAGCATTTCCAAAATTATTCCAAATTGTAGAGAATGTAAAGACAAAGTGTTAGTATATCTGTGAGCCTTTGCAGATGGAAAGACCACTTTAACCTCACTTAGAATGCAGCACACAAGTGTTTTCTTTTCAACGTTTATTTATTTTTGGGACAGAGAGAGACAGAGCATGAATGGGGGAGGGGCAGAGAGAGAGGGAGACACAGAATCGGAAACAGGCTCCAGGCTCTGAGCCATCAGCCCAGAGCCCGACGCGGGGCTCGAACTCACGGACCGCGAGATCGTGACCTGGCTGAAGTCGGACGCTTAACCGACTGCGCCACCCAGGCGCCCCACAAGTGTTTTCTTTTTAAGGAATTACTCTGATAGCAGTTATGGGTTAAGACAGTGAAAAAGACAGTGAAAGTATTTCTTTTATAAGCTTAAGAGTCTAAGAGAAGCAGCCTATCATACTCAAGAGGAAGGAGGCAGAACAGCTGTTTATGTAGACTGAAATTAAAGAATTGGATAAACACAGGTTTCCAATAAGCCCTAAAGAATGAAGTTCTTAGTACAATAACTATTATAAGCTATTTGAGTATTTTAATACACCTCAGCTGGGACATAAAATTTGCCTAAATGCACTAGTGTACTTTTATGGACATAGATTTCCAGTTTCATAAAGTAGTGGGAAAATATATCTTGAGAGAGCTTGTTTTTTAAAGTTTATACTATTATCATAGAAACTTGAATTTGTATAAACTTGGCACTATTGGTATGGAATTTGCATTGCCATTATATTAGAATGGGTTACAGCTTAGCATTTATATTGTGATGTGTTCATTTTAATGGGCTTTCAAGTACTAAACATTATGTTGAAATTTTTTTCTTCCATCTATTATGATACTAGCTGTATTAAAAGACTGCAATTATTGCTTACCTTAGGAATTGTTCATGTTCTGCAACAATGTGTGCATGTGTTTAATAACCTTTTTTTCTTGATTGAAAGAATAGTACATGGTTGTTGTAGTTATGTACGGTGTGTAAAATGCTGCTGTATTTTAACACAGATTGCTTGAATTGGATATACCGTGGTACATTCCTAGTATTGTGGTTAGCTCTCTCGTTTTTATTTTTGGCTGTGTCCTTCAGCTGCCACCAGAGGTACCTTGATAATAAAGAATAGTTGAAAGAACCGACACCGTTTAAGCAGGTTGTACTATGAGAACTTTCTGCCTGGCTTCTGGTTTATAGTAGGTAAGGTAGACTGGAAGCCTGTTTAAGATTGCTTATAAAATTTTGGATATGACTTGATTGAGTCATTCTGTCCATTTTTTTTTTATTTTAATGGTTGTTGGATCCGAATGCAGGTTACTGAAGAATTTGCAGAATTTCTTGACTGGGCAGCTTTAAGAGTCGATTCAGTGTAACCAAGTGAAACAGGACAGATAACAGCCCTTCTCAGTATTTTATTTAAGTTTTATGTATTTCTCCGGGGGAAAAGTTGAAGTTATGATTTTGTAATAAAGATAAGTCTCAAAGGTAGAAAAGGATAATCTAGCATTTGTCCACAAAGGTTGTAGGTTGGTTTCTAATGCACAATTTAGTGAAAATGGTACTTCGTACCAGCTTTTGACAAATAAGTTACTTAAAAATGGCAAATATTAATTGATATGACCATTTTTCTTTGTGAAGACTATTAACTATATCAGTTCTTAGAATGACGGGCCTTTTTTTTTGTATTACAGTAAAAATTCTGAAGAATTAGTAGTTTATTCTTCAAGTTAAGTTCACTGACAGTTATTAATTTTACCTTTTTAGATTGTATCTAAATTGTTTTCAGAGGTTAAAATGATAGTGACAACTTTGTAACCAGTTGTTAACAAGGGAGGTAAGAGGACTGTTTCTTAACCTTGAATGATTCCATGAAGAAATTTATGCAGATTTAAGTTTTCATGATAGAAAAACTGAAGGATAGGCCACAAAAGAGGTATTAGGTGTTTGTGAAACCTTAGATAATTAAAAAGCAAGACTTTTTATTTTTTTTAATGTTTATTTATTTTTGAGAGAGACAGATGGACAGAGTGCAAATAGGGGAGGGGTAGAGAGAGAGGGAGACACAGAATCGGAACCAGGCTCCAGGCTCTGAGCTGTCAGCACAGAGCCCGAAGAGGGGCTGGAACTCATGAGCTGGGAGATCATGACCTGGGCCACAGTTGGCCACCCAACCAACTGAGCCACCCAGGTGCCCCAGCAAGACTTCTTTTAAAATAGCCTAATGTCTTTTGAAAAAATATTCTGTCGTGTCTTAATGTTTTAACAAACCAAAAGGAAAGTTTCGTTTTTTCCAGTAAGTTCTGTGCCAGAACTGAGATTGAAACTTTAAATTTTAAGATGTTACTAAGTTAGCTTGTTTACATTAATTTCTAAGAAATGGCGATTTTCAGCACTATTGAATAATTTTCAGTTATATTTATTTATGAGGGAAGACTTGAAAATCAAACATACACATATTTGGACCATAATATTTTTACCATGTACTAGAAAGCTTCACATAAGCATTTAAGAAAAAACTTAGATTTTAATATAAGACTGATTATACAGTTGTAAAATTAAACATTTTACGGTGTCATAGAGCATTCTGATATGTATGTAAACATGAACTGTGGTCATATTCATAGTGTTTCATCTACTGCTGTTCAACAGCATAAATGAATAACATAGGATCTGTGTTATAGAAGGGAAGGCAGAGAGGGGAAGATACTCTTTTCACCTTAATGAACCAACCTGTGTAATGCTTCAATTACAAGCAAATTGGCCATACTTTTTTTTTTTTTGAAGTACAGAATATGCTGCTTTTACAGTTTCAGTGAATGAAAAAGCCTAAATTGCTGTGCCTGCTCCAGGCATCTGTCCAGGAATTTAGAGACTATAGAGAATTTAGAGAGATGTGGTGAAAGACTTACAGGTAGCTAAATGGGAAAGGTTGATACTGAAGGAAAAGGTAGCTATATGTTTCAGTTTTGTTTGCATCTGAAAAAATAAATAGGCCTGGCAGCATTTGTACAGTTCTTGATAAGTAAATCTTTGGACATTAAACTCAGAAAGTTTTAAGTAAGTTGCATGATAGTCTTACGGCATAAATGAAAATGGGTGTGAGGTTGGGGTAATTATTTACATGATAATCAAGGCGTAAATGGACAGAGAAACCGGACTGTCCCATCCTACTTTGGTCATAATCATATATCTGTCAGATTAAGAAACAGTCTCTTATTCAGTTTTAAATCATTTGACTTGGAAAGTTTTGATTTCTATCCAACTTTTTCAGAAGCCAGTCAGTTTTCTGATATAGGATATAGTTACTGAAGGGAATATATGTATGTGTAACTGCATAAAATATGGAAAACTATTAATAAAATTGGTGGGATCAAAAAATAAAGACCATGATACTAATTGTATAATTTTTTGTACATTATGATACTTCATGATAATACAGAATATTAAAATGGCACAGTTGAAAAATTACATGTATTAGTAATTTATAAGCCAAAGGGGGCATCTTAAGAATTTCATGTCCTCTTTTCCCCGTAAGTTTATCTTTGTGCTTTATTTCAGAACATATGTTTCTGATTCAGTTGGAGTGTGCAAAGATAGTGGTCAAACATAATTGGGAAAAGATGTTAGTAATTTCACTAATTTTTTTTTTTTTTTTTTTTTTTTTTTTTTTTTTTTTTTTACTTTGAACATCAGCATGTGTTCTCTAATAATTGAGTTTAGGTAGATGTGTGCAAATTTCAGCCCAGAATGCTTTGCTTTAACTGTATCTTGGTATCTTAGCATGGCTTAGTGAAAGCTCATTTTAAGATAACTAAGACTTCAAGTTATAAATTAGTAAATACTTAAGACATACGTGGGGGGGATTACAGTTAATGTTAGATTTATGCTTGGATTAATTATTTATATTAAAATTGTTCACATTTTAGGAAATAGGATGAAACATGAAAGGGGAGGAGGGTGAAGAATATGGTAAAAAACATTTAGAGAAATTCAGTAAATTTTCTTTAATTGTTAGAAACTAGACTTTTGAAAAATTTTAAAGATTATAAAATTGTTTTTTAATAAACTAGTTATTTGCACTTTACCTGCTGGCTTTTCCATTTGGTAGATAACATTCTGAACTCCAGCAGAGTTTTATAATCCCCACGTGCTTAAATATACTAAATGTTCTTTTTCCATTAAGGTTAATGTTCGTGAAGAAATTGAAGAGTTTTTTCCAAGAATGTGGAAGATAAATCAAGATAAAAGAAGGCTAATGAAAAGTATTAAAGATCAGAAAATTAAAATTGAATGGGGGAAAAAATTGAACAGAAGATTGGTCAGATAGAAGCACTTGAATATTTTTTTTAAGGCTATTTTGAATTGTTTGAATTGGGGAAGAATACACGAAGTATGAAAAATGAAAAACTCAATGAAGAATGAAGAGAAGTAGAAAGCAAGAGTGAAGTAGAATTAAAAGAATCTGGAAGAATGAATGGGTCCTAGGTTAAGTAAATGTATGGTTTATGTTCCAGTGTCTGTATGATCAAGTTGTAGATGAATTTGCATGATTACTTAGTTAATAGAGAATTGGTGATCTGGTTCAAGTAGGGAATTATTGAGGACAGTTAGCAGTATTAACAATGGGTTATTAATGAGCTGAAATTTTTTCTGGAGGGTATTGCCTAACCATTTGTTTTTCAGGAGCAATCAATATAAATAATTACGGTACTTTAAATGTTAGGTGTTAGGCATCTACGTGACCAGTGCCATTTGTAATACTGTCTTCTTTGTTAGGAGTCTCGCTCTCAGTCAAAATCTCCAACGGGAACTCCTGCTCGTGTAAAATCGGAGAGCAGGTCAGGATCTCGTAGTCCATCAAGGGTTTCCAAACACTCTGAATCCCATTCTCGATCAAGATCAAAATCCAGGTAAGTGTGCTTAAAATAGTACTTAAGATGCTTTCCTTGGATTTTTCAGAGCAAAGTGGTTTTTTACTAAATTCCTTGTTTTTGCTGCATTTTGTATAGAGATTAGACCAAAGACCAAAGAAATTTCACCCAAAACATGAAGTAGTTTTTCTCAAACTGTGGAGTTTAGAAATGAATGTTCTAGGGGTGCCTGGGTGGCTCAGTCAGTTAAGTGTCAGTCTCTTGATCTCGTTTCAGCTCATGATCTCATGGTCATGGAATCTAGCTCCTGTTGGGCTCTGCACTGAGTGTGGAGCCTGCTTGGGATTCTCTCTCTCCCTACCCCCTTCCCTACTCTCATGCATGTACACTCTCCCAAAATAAATAAATAAAAGATTTTTTTTTTTTAAATGAGTGTTCTAGATAAAGATTTAGATAAGGCAGAGTCATCTTTTAGCCCAGTTAACCTATCAGATGCTGGCTGTTAATATAGATTCAATATGTGTTGATTGATTTAAATGCATTTGGCATCTGAGGATTGGTTTTTTATTTTATTTCAGTATTTGTACAACCAAAAGGTAAATTTCTCCATTGGATACTTGGCATGTAATTTAGAGCAGAGAAGGTTGATGTGTCTATGTTGTACTGGCTATCACAATGATTTGAGAAGCTGTTTCAAGATTCATATTCCAGCTACAGCTACATCCTTTACCTGAAGATTGTGACTCAGTAGGTCCAGGTTGGAACTCTTGTCGATGTAATTTCTTTTTTCTTTTCTTTTTTTTTTTTTTTTTGAGTTTATTTATTGTAATAGAGATGGAGATAACATGAGTCGGGGAATCGCAGAGAGAGAATCCCAAGTAGGCTCTGCACTGTCAGTGCAGGCTGCATGTGGGGCTCAAACTCACAAAACCATGAGGTCATGACCTGGGCCAAAACTGAGAGTCAGATAGTGATGCTTAATTAATTGAGCCACCCAGGCGCCCCTATAATTTCATAATTGGAGACATAATTTCTTTGTGTAGAGTTTGTTTGCAAGGGAGCATGAGACAAAAAAAATCCATTAAAAGGCTATACTTTTCTTGAGTCCACAGCTATCTTTTCTGTCATATCCACGATCCAACTTGATTCACTAACCACTCTAATTAAATCATGTGCAGAATAGCACTGTGTAGAATTTGGGTGTGCAAATGGAAATGAGCATGTTTTCATTTTAGGACCTTCACACTTGTTGTTCTCGGCCTAGAATTCTCCTCCCTCAGATATTCAATCACTTAATTCATTCTCTGTCTGTGTGCCACCTGAGAACGTTAAAGAGCATACACACCTTATTGCCTTACTCTTAATTTTTTTTTGTGATACTTAACCACTATCTGATTCAGAGAAAAGCTTAGGCACTCCTGAAGGGTTTTTAATTTATGTCATTTATCATTACTGTTTAAAAATAACAGTTGAAGGGCACCTGGGTGGTTCAGTTGTCTTAAGTGTCTGACTTAGGCTCAGGTCATATCTCAAGGTTCGTTGGTTCTACCCATACATCAGGCTCTCTGCTGTCAGCACAGAGCCTGCTTTGAATTCTCTGTCACCCTCGCTGTCTCTGCCCCTTCCCGCCCCGCAAAAAATAAACATTTTTCATTTTTTTTAACGTTTATTTATTTTTGAGAGAGTATGGATAGGGGAGGAGCAGAGAGAGAGAGGGAGACACAGAATCCAAAGCATGGTCCAGGCTCTAAGCTGTCAACACAGAGCCTGATGCGGGGCTTGAACCCATGAACCGTGAGATCATGACCTGAGCCAAAGTCAGACACTAAGCCAACTGAGCCACCCAGGCGCCCCAACAATTGATACTTTAAGTGACAGGATTTCTTATTAATGTTTGTTTATCTTTTACAGTGAGGCTGTAAATTAGTGTTAAGGAAAATGGGAAATCTCTATATCTTAAATGTGCTAGGAACTACATCTCCAGGTCTTGCCAAGGAACTTTTGCTTTTGCTGTTCCTAGAATACTTTTCCCCTGTCTACCTAGTAAAATAGTCTCCCAGCTTCATTGTTAGCCTTCTTTGTTTTGAATAATCTTCCCTTGTTAGTTTAATTCTCTTCACGCATGTGCTCTCTTTTTAGACACTCTGGCCCTTAGCATGTATAACATTTATTGAATGCCTTAAACAAATTATTTTGTAAGACTGTGATCGCTCCATGGGGCGCCTGGGTGGCTCAGTTGGTTAAGCGTCCGACTTCAGCTCAGGTCACGATCTCGCGGTCCGTGAGTTCGAGCCCCGTGTTGGGCTCTGGGCTGATGGCTCAGAGCCTGGAGCCTGCTTCTGATTCTGTGTCTCCCTCTCTCTCTGCCCCTCCCCCATTCATGCTCTGTCTCTCTCTGTCTCAAAAAATAAATAAACGTTAAAAAAAAAAAAATGTGATCGCTCGCTCCTGGTCTGTGTGTTTATCAAAGATGAGTCATGTGAATAGTCAATAAATAGTTAACATTAAGACGCAAAGAAATAATCAAAGTGGCTGGAAATAGAGAAAGAAGAACTAGGGAATCAGCAGGGGAAAGACAAATGAGATGCTGTAGTAAACTTGAAGAAATGAAGACTGTTAGACATGAAGACTATTACATGGGCATTTAGGTTGTTGGATTAATTTAGGAGATGCTGGATTGCAGTGGGCTAAAGAAAGATTGGAAAGGAAATGACACTTAACAGTGAAGGGAATGTAGAACTATATTGAGAAGATGGTAAGAATCAAAGGATTTTACTGTGGTGATAATGGCAGTTGGTGATTGGTCTTTGTTATGGTAAGATACACATAACAAAATTTACACTCTTGGGGCACCTGAGTGGCTCAAGTCAGTTGAGCTTCCAGCTTTGGCTCAGGTCATGATCTCACAGTTCGTGGGTTCGAGCCCCTCATTGGGCTCTGTGCTAACAACTCGGAGCCTGGAGCCTGCTTCAGATTCTTTGTCTGTCTGTCTCTCTTTCTCCCTCTCCCTCTCCCTCTGTCC